TATCATTGAATATTAACTAAAATTTCTATTATAGGAACATACAGCGTGGTAAAATACATATGTATATCTAGGCATTAGCTCAGTCATCTAGTGGACTTTTCCAATTTCCTTAATTGACTTTAGTTTACATAATTAGTACCCCCCTAAGATGCTAAATATTGGCATAGGGTTCAACTCAAAATCCCAAAGGTCAAGGGCCAGGGACATGGATTTTCCGAACACAAAGCACCACGTGGCGTACCTATAATTTTTGTGACAACAATGAGTAAATATGAGGTGCTAAATATTGGCATAGGGTTCAACTCGAAATCCCAAAGGTCCAGGGTCAGGGACATGGATCTTCCGAACACAAAGCACCACGTGGCGTACCTAACAAGCTTTGTATCTTCGGTTCTACACGGAATACTAATTATAATTTTTGTGATAACAATGAGTAAATATTAGGTGCTAAATATTCTCATAGGGTTCAACTCGAAATCCCAAAGGTCCCGGGCCAGGGACATGGATCTTCCGACCACAAAGCACCACCTGGCCTACCTAACAAGCTTTGTATCTTCGGTTCTACACGGGATACTAATTATAATTTTTGTGATAACTATGAGTAAATATTAGGTGCTAAATATTGGCATAGGGTTCAACTCGAAATCCCAAAGGTCAAGGGCCAGGGATATGGATCTTCCGAAAACAAAGCAAGAGGTGGCGTACCTAACAAGCTTTGTATCTTCGGTTCTACACGGGATACTAATTATAATTTTTGTGATAACAATGAGTAAATATTAGGTGCTAAATATTGGCATAGGGTTCAACTCGAAATCCCAAAGGTCAAGGGCCAGGAACATGGATCTTCCGAACACAAAGCACCAGGTGGCGTACCTAACAAGCTTTGTATCTTCGGTTCTACACGGGATACTAATTATAATTTTTGTGATAACAATGAGTAAATATTAGGTGCTAAATATTGGCATAGGGTTCAACTCGAAATCCCAAAGGTCAAGGGCCAGGAACATGGATCTTCCGAACACAAAGCACCAGGTGGCGTACCTAACAAGCTTTGTATCTTCGGTTCTACACGGGATACTAATTATAATTTTTGTGATAACTATGAGTAAATATTAGGTGCTAAATATTGGCATAGGGTTCAACTCGAAATCCCAAAGGTCAAGGGCCAGAGACATGGATCTTCCGAAAACAAAGCACCAGGTGGCGTACCTAACAAGCTTTGTATCTTCGGTTCTACACGGGATACTAATTATAATTTTTGTGATAACAATGAGTAAATATTAGGTGCTAAATATTGGCATAGGGTTCAACTCGAAATCCCAAAGGTCAAGGGCCAGAGATATGGATCTTCCGAACACAAATCACCACGTGGCGTACCTAACCAGCTTTGTATCTTCGGTTCTACACGGGATACCAATTATAATTTTTGTGATAAAAATTAGTAAATATTAGGTGCTAAATATTGGCATAGGGTTCAACTCGAAATCCCAAAGGTCAAGGGCCAGGGATATGGATCTTCCGAACACAAGTCACCACGTGGCGTACCTAACCAGCTTTGTATCTTCGGTTCTACACTTGATACTAATTATAATTTTTGTGATAAAAATGAGTAAATATTAGGAGCTAAATATTGGCATAGGGTTCAACTCGAAATCCCAAAGGTCAAGGGCCAGAGACATGGATCTTCCGAAAACAAAGCACCAGGTGGCGTACCTAACAAGCTTTGTATCTTCGGTTCTACACGGGATACTAATTATAATTTTTGTGATAACAATGAGTAAATATTAGGTGCTAAATATTGGCATAGGGTTCAACTCGAAATCCCAAAGGTCAAGGGCCAGGGATATGGATCTTCCGAACACAAGTCACCACGTGGCGTACCTAACCAGCTTTGTATCTTCGGTTCTACACTTGATACTAATTATAATTTTTGGGATAAAAATGAGTAAATATTAGGAGCTAAATATTGGCATAGGGTTCAACTCGAAATCCCAAAGGTCAAGGGCCAGGGACATGGATCTTCCGAACACAAAGCACCAGGTGGCGTACCTAACAAGCTTTGTATCTTCGGTTCTACACGGGATACTAATTATAATTTTTGTGATAACAATGAGTAAATATTAGGTGCTAAATATTGGCATAGGGTTCAACTCGAAATCCCAAAGGTCAAGGGCCAGGGACATGGATCTTCCGAACACAAAGCACCAGGTGGCGTACCTAACAAGCTTTGTATCTTCGGTTCTGCACGGGATACTAATTATAATTTTTGGGATAAAAATGAGTAAATATTAGGAGCTAAATATTGGCATAGGGTTCAACTCGAAATCCCAAATTTGCCGGGCCAGAGACATGGATCTTCCGAACACAAAGCACCACCTGGCGTACCTAACAAGCTTTGTATCTTCGGTTCCTCACGGAATACTAATTATAATTTCTGGGATAAAAACTAGTCCATATTAGGTGCTAAATATTGGCGTAGGTTTCAACTCGAAATTCCATTGGTGCCGGACAAGGGACATGGACCTAAGGTTTTAGCTTTCCAATGGATATAGTAACATCGAATTTGGAGAACATCCTGAGGACTTATCAATAATTTAGTGGATGAATGGTTAGTGGCAGAGGGAAAATTCCAAAAGTGAAATGATCTACAAAGTTACTAACATTTCGTTTTGTTAAATTAATTATTAAATATGTTCATATTGCTATAAATAATTCATCCAATAAACATTTTCGGAATATTTGTTAATATACTTCATTTTAAATAAGATATTATCTATATATATCAGGTATTGGATGTTTATCAATTTGAAAATTTACTTGTTTTTTTTTTAATGATGAATAGAAAGAGTTTTTCTTTATATACAGCCTGCTCAAGATCAAACCAATCATTTCAGAGAACTAAATCCAATGTATTTAGCCTTCATCAGATATTTAAAGAAAATGTTTAGAAGCTTTTGTAATAAATAATAAATAGATAATAAAAAGGCTTAGCGAATCCGAAGGTTCGATGCCGACACCACCAATCGCTTATTACACAACTCCCTTCACCGTTCGCCGTCCAAACCCAGTCCCTTCAGATCAGCTTTAATGCAATCTTCCCACCTTCGCTTCGGTCTACCCCTCGGACGCTTACCATTCGGCACAGCAAATATTAACCTTTTAGGAATTCTCTCGTTACTAAGTCCAACAACTTTACAAGCCCATTTGATTCGCCGCGATGAAATTATCTCAATTATATTACTCGGATACAGTTCACGCAATTCGGCGTTGTGTAACCTTCTGAAATCTCGGGTTAACTCATCCTTCTTCGGTCCGAATATTCTACGCAATACCTTATTTTCAAAAACATTAAGACGCTGCTCATCCCTTAATGTAAGCGGTCAAGTTTCGCACCCATAAAGAACTGTAGGCAAGATAATTGTTTTATAGATTCTAATTTTTAAGTTCCGGGACAAGAGGCGCGAACTAAGTAGTTTTGTCACAGAAAAATAACAAGCATTTCCCGCCTTCAGTCTAACCTTAATTTCTTCTTCAATTTCGTTTTTTCTAGTTATCCTAGAACCTAGATACCTAAACTTATCTACCTGCTCAAACATATTACCATCTATATCGTTATCACCAGTAGTATCGCCATTTTTGCAGCTAACCATATATTTTGTTTTATCCACGTTTATTTCGAGTCCTAGTTCTTTACCGGCTTTCATTAACGTTGTCGTATTTAGTTTTATAGTTTCAAGGTCTTCGCTTAACAGTACCAGATCATCAGCATAGCCCAGCACGGATGTTGTCCCACCCAGATCCAACCCTTTCTCGGTACGCATTACCTCCTTAATGGCATGTTCTAATGCCAAATTGAACAGTACAGGCGAAAGGGAATCCCCCTGTTTTAAACCCGAACGAACCTCAAATTTTTCGGACAGATTATTACCGATTCTAACTTTATTAAGTGTCTCCGTCAAGCACATCCTGACTAGATTTACTAATTTTTTAGGAATCCCCTGCTCGATTAGAATATTAGAAGCTTTTGTAAACTTAAGAAAAATATAATATTATAATTATAAATTTAATGAAACTAGCAAGGGTTAAACTATGGATGGGTATAGATCATAATATTTATAAACTGATAAATTACTAAATACAAGTACTAAATCCTTGCCTTAGAAACATTACTACAAGGAACTTATGCTGTGCTCTTAATGTAATGAAATCTGATACAAATATAAGGTTTGTTTGAAGTATTCCCATGGGTTAGCTAGTATCTACTTAAACATCTTGATAGATTGATAGGAATATTGACAAAGACGTTTAAGAAGATATGGAAGTACACTACCACTGGTTTATTCTGAAAGTTCATCATGTAACATTTTAGAAAATTAAATTAGAGAATATTTTTATGAATTTTCCCACTGTGAAATCACAACATTACCTGCTTGCATGCAATTAGTGTGACAACTTTTGCCCTATTGATAATAGGCATTAAAAATCTCGTAACTCCATTTTGTAAACTTTACAATGAAAAAAATAAGAGTATTATAACTAATAGTTGTACAATCCATAATCATTTATTGGTTAAATTTACAGATATACTTTCAAATCTCTCTAGGTATATAGAGCTCAGAGATTGGAGTTATGTGCTTTACAAAAACAAATGGAGTTGCGTGTTTTTTATTTATTTTAGTGATTTGCTAGTGTAAAGTTTAAGATTTAGCTCTGTTAAAAGTGCACTTAAAAAATATTATAATAGCTTAATATTTTCTGAAAATAATTTCTATTCAAAGTAGATCTATAAGTGAAAGTTGTATGATGCACACACCATATTTTTTTGTGTGTATTCATGACCATGAGTACATTTGACAGAACAGAAAGGGCAGTTCTGAATAATTTTACCAATTTAGATGTGTGGTTACATGTCTTTTCTAACTAATATAAGTGTTATATAATCTCCTGTCCTACCAAGGAAATATAAAAATCTAAATTAGAAATACAAAATTTATACTTACCAGGTTGTGTTTCCAATCTGACATGTGCTTCAGATATCGACAGCTCATACTCTCAAAAGAACAGGAAGTATTGTAGGTGCAGAATGTCTTGAGGGGGACTTCACGGTTAACAACAGCAAGGTTAAGCCCAACAGGATCGTGACCAATAGACCAGCAAAAGAAAGACATTTGGGAGACCGGAATTCCGAAAATGAACAACATCATACTGTAAATATTTTCAAAATTACAATCAATTAATATCTTCAATGATTTACAAAGAAAACGTACACTTTGTTTTAACATAAAATTATCAAATTGATCATTTATAAATATTCAAGAATATACAGCAAAATCTTGATAAGTCATGGCAAGAAAGGGTGGGAGTCTGAGGCAAATAATAAAAAATTTATGAATAATTATTGAAAAAGTGGAATAATAATTTTTTGTTAATAATACATAAGGATCTCAACAGAAAATAGAAGAAATATGGGTATAACATAGGAAAAGAAAGGTAATTTTTATCTATCTATATATATATATATATATATATATATTTTAAGTTTTAATCAATTTTATTTTTTATCTATATATATTTTTATTTAACCAGGGAGTGGAGTACCTCAGTAATAGCTTCCATTGCTAAAGGTCCCAGGTTCGAATCTGGCTCATGGCAGAAAAATTATTTATTCTGTTTCATTGGCAGTGGAGCGACCCTCCTGGGACACACCCAGCCTCTATGAAGTGGTTACCCTTAATTAAAATAATTGATTAAGGGGAAAAACCTGGTGGTTGAGCGTGATCTCGATCAAATCACCTTCTTGCACAACTGTAGACCAAGAAACAGTGCTTTCCCTAAATAGTACTGAACCCAAGACCCTTCATGGGTTGTAGTGGTACAGATTTCGGTACTTATTTAATAGCGGGTATCGCCAAAACCTCCCTTCTTATCTAATCTCATTTCACATAACCTCCCTTATCTCATCTAAGTTATTCCCTTGTTTATTTTTTGTTTCTTGTGTTATAGTGTTATTTAATTATGGATGTTGTCACATTGTGGGAATTGCCGTCTTCAGAAGAAGAGACGAAACATATATTTTCAAGACGCCGGGATATTTGCTAAGGTCAAATATTGGGATGAAGGTCATCAAATGAAGTTCAACGGGAAGATTAAATGGAGATGCTTTCGTAGTTGTAACAAAACAGTTTCTATAAGGAAAGGAACGAGGTTAGAGGGGTCGAGGATTTCTTTTTTAATGGCTATTAAATTCATTTATGGGTGATTCCATAATTTAACAACAATACAGTGGGGGAAAGAGCAGCTCAAACTATCTAACGCAACAATCGTAACATGGAACAAATTTTTAAGAGAAGTTTGCGCCCATGACATGTTATACAGGTCGAATAAAAAATTGGAGGGCCTGGCAAAGTCGTCAAAGTAGACAAGAGTCTTTTTTCGAAAAGAAAAAATCATGTAGGGAGAGTCCTATCTGAGCAATAATATCAATACAATACAATAAATATGAATACGAAGATATAATAATATGAATACGAATAGCTTATCAGTGTTAAGGTTATAAACATTGGCAGATAGCAGTCGGACGCTACCCGCTCTTAAATAAGTACCCAGGTTTCTTTTATTTTATTTATTTTTTTTTAATATTTTTTAATATTGTTGGCAAGGACTTCAATTCTATTTGTAATGAAAAAACATGTTTGATCCGCTGTCCTGCTTTATTTTTTCTTTACTCTGAACATATCAGCTCCATAGGCCATTTTCAAGGGAAGACACTTTATAAAATAAACATAAAATCACAAAATAATATGTATTAGATAAAAGCAGGTGACTAGGTCAAATTAGTCCAAATGATTTGATTTTCATTTTAGAAAATTTCTTTCTTTGAAAATGGCCAACAGGCTGAAACATTGGGTGTAAAGAAAAATAAAGATGACTAAGGATCAATTGCGTTTTATAATTATGAATGTTATTTTTATTTTTTTAAAAATATATACATGGTATTGCAAAAATGAAGAATCACAATTAATTTGTTTTTTGTGTACAACAATAAGAAATATAGTAATTGAACTCCAGATAATCAAGATTTTTCATATATTCAGAATAAATGTATCCTATAATAATAATGTGTGTTTTTTGTATTTATACATCAAAAAAGATGATCATAAATAATAAAAACAAATTACGGTAAGTTCCTCCAAATCCAAAGTACGTTTTTCCAGATTAGTGCTTTCATATGGTGGGATTGCATTAGATAAAACATGTCTTTCCAATTGAAGTCAACTTCATCATCAGGTGGCAATGGATCAGCCTGTAATGAAAAATGGATTATAAGAATATTTTAATAATTAATTAAGTTTAAAGATGCCATTAATTTATAATCATTACATTATCTGGTTTGATGACAGCCGGCACACTTGCTATGCTCATGTTGTCACCGAATTCTCCGCTGATTTCTGATTGACTGTCAAATGCTTCGTTTGCAGCTCCAATGGTTTCCAGCTCCTATAAAAATATTTATGATACCTGAGTATATTTTGATTAAATAACTCACCTAATTCAGTATAAGTAAAGGAATGTTAAATTAAATAAAAAACTATTATTATTTACCGGCATTGCGGCTGCCTTGGCTGCAACAATATCGGAACTTATACTGCTCCTCCTCCTTTTTCCTCGGTTTTGTAGAATGCTTAGCTTGAGAAAAGCTTCTTCTAATGAATCTGTATTGTATTTTCTCAAGATTGCAGCTGGAGAATCTTCAGCCAAAAATCTTCCTCCTCTCATGAGACCAATCTGAAAAATTACACATAATGTCTTATTTTAATTTAAGTCAAATATAATCCTAACTTCAATATTTAACTGTCTAAGCAGTTATTAATGAAAACTAAAGGAATTAAAATTTATTTTATTAGTTTTGTGACTAATAATTCTTAAAACTTTTGCAGCAATATAGTCTGTGTTACAGACCCCTTTTTATTGAATTATTAACATCTGCCTGAAATTTCATAAATAATTTTATCTCATCGTAACCTACAACTATTTTATTTAAGAAAATTCTTGGAATCGGGGCTTTTCAATCTGGCAAACTCGTGGATACCCATTTACTTTCTACTTTGGTTGTAAGATAATTTGATCACTAAATCAATAAAAAAGGTGGCTATCAAAAATATTGGGGCGTTTGTCCTATATAAACTCGTTATTTTGAAAATTTGGGAGTGTAGGTTATGCCAAACGGCTCAATATTTTTAAAGGCCACACTTTTTCTCGATTTTGTGATCAAATTATCTTATGATCAAAGTAAAAAGTAAATGAGTATTTTCGAGTTTTAGTAACTAATTAAATAGACAAAGTTTGCCCCCCTTCAGATTGAAAATGCCTCAATTCCTAGAGTTTTCATAAATAAAATAGTTTGCGATGAGTGTTATTTTTAATTTATGTTAAATTATGTTATTAATAATGTTTGGCTTGTCCGTGGTACTGACCCCTTTTTATCGAATTATTAAAATCCGCCTGAAACTTCGTTAATAGTTTCATCTCATCGCAAACTATTTTATTTATAAAAACTCTTAGAATTGAGGCATTTTCAATCTGGAGGGGGGCAAACTTTGTCTATTTAATTGCATTCGTAGGTTGTGTAGGTGATAAAACATGATTTGAAGGTTGATACTGTTTATCTTTATCAGGATTACCCATTATCTGAAGAAAAATCATCACAAATATGGTTGGACAAATTTATTTTAATAACATAACTTTATCCTAATATCTATTACCATGTTGATTAATATGTTCTTCATCAAAAATAGTTTTAATATGTTAGAAGATGATTAATGGCATAGTCCTTCTACATGTTAGTGTGAACGTATAACATCACATATAACTTTATTGAGGTACAAATATATAATGCAAAAAGAACTCGTTTTCCTTAAAATTTTGGTAGGTCATTAATTAGGTTATTTAGGCTATGAAAACTTATTTTATTCATAAATTTATTCATAAATAGGCTAATTAGGTTATTATTTTTATAACATTATACAGCTGACATCCCACTCCAATCCAACACTGTCATCACCACCTATCAGTTAATAATGACCCATCTATTGCATCCCAAACTCTTCAATCACATATCACAAGTCCTGAAAAATGGTGTCAAAACTGAAGGATTAAAATAAATTCCAATAAATCCCATCAAATTACCTTCACTCTTCGTCGTAAACCTATGACTTAATGTCCTACAGTATCCTTCAACAATAGCCCTCTTATCGAACAAATCCGATACTTAGGACTCCACCTTGACAAATGACTCACTTGGAACCCCCATACCAGGCTGAAACGACAAGAAACCGCCCGAAGTTTTCGACTACTGCAGCAGTTACTAGACAAACACTCTAAGCTTACAATCAATTACAAACTATATATGACAATAATAAGACCTATTTGGCTCCACTAAACCATTGAATTCCTCTCGTATCCAATCCTTACAATCCAAAATCCTCAACGCTCCTTACTTTGTCACAAATAAAATCATCCATAAAGACCTTAATGTCCCTTATGTTTCCGATTTGGCCCAATCCAGATACTTATCCTTCCATAACAAACTGCAGAACCATCCGAATCCTCTCGTTTCAAACCTTGCTTCCTCCTCGATCCCTGATAACCCTCCGAGGCATCTGAAAAGAAGATGGCCTCCGGACCTTCTAATATAGAACTTTAATTTGAGTTCTACCAATGGATAGTTTCTCTTCATGTTTTACATGTCATGTTACCAATGTCACATTTATTTCTTGTATTTTCCATGTAATACAGTTGTAAATTTCAATAGAATAAATAAAAAAAAATTTTATAACATAATATTGGTAAAATACTATTCGCAGGAATAAATGATCTATAAGGTCTCCCTTATTTTTGATTACATTTCATAGATGGTTATTCACCAATGAAACCAATTTTTAGTGACTTCAGGCTCAATTCGCTTCCATTCATACATGCTTCCTTAAATTGTGATTTGTTTTTAATCTTCCTTTTTTTCAATCTTTGCTTTAGGTCATCCCATAGATGTTCAATTCGGTTCAGGTCCATTGATTGGTGCAGAGTTTTTAATTGTCTTGCGGCATTATGGAGAGGCCATTCTTCCACTTTCTGCGCTTGATGTTTCTGGTCATTGTCTGGTTGAAATATAAATAGTGACCCAATACCAAGATTCATTGCACTTGATTTTAAATTTTCTTTTAATATATCTATATACATATATTGGTCCATTATACAGTCAAAAATTATAAGTTTCTCGATGCCAGAAGCACTAATACAGGCCCAAACCATAATTCCACCTTTATGCTTGACCGCAGGACACAAGTTTTTAGCTGCTAACACTTGATTGGGTTTCCACCATACCTGAACTTTTTTATCAGATGAAAATAAGGTAAATTTACATGATGTAATTAAGTACAGTTGTAAATAGGTAAATTTACAATTGTCACTGAAAAAAACACATTCCCAGAAATTACTAGGCTCATTCTGATCCTCTTTTGCAAACAATAAATGTTTACCTTTATTCACTTTTCTTATAAAAGGCCTTTTCCTCATATATCGCGAGTTATACTCTTCATTTATTATAACATTTCACATCGTTTGTTGTTTAAATTTAATGGCATAATAATTTTCAAGCTACCAGCGATGGATGCAGCACTTGTCTTTTAGGCTTCATGATTATTTTTCAGTTCATGGAGCCTTTAAAATTTTTTCAGGCATCCAGATCTTGGTCAACTTTAAAAGTTTCCAGTCTCTTCAAACCTGTTGATTTTCTGAATCGTGGAATGATGTTTGTAAATTATTTTGACAATTTCTCTGTGACTTTCTTTCTTATCTTAAATTAACAACCTATTTCGTATTTCAACAGATACCTCCATAGTGAGAACAAATACAATTAAATTCACTTCCTTCCATGTCAGTAAATAATGAAATACTGAATAACTCATGAATCATAAGATCTACAGTTAAGCGATTATCACGTTTTGTTTAGGTTTTTCTGTTTATAAACAGTGTACACAGACTTTTTTTAATAACTTTTTGTTGATTATTTACTATAGTTTCAAAACTAGATCCTAAGTAAAATATTTATTAGTAGAAACTGCATTAAATACTTAATATAAATAGATTCTTAACAAATATTTTTATTGTAGAGTACTCATTATACAAAGAAACATTAAAATTTCTTTTGGAAATAAATGAACCCAGACTTTTTTTACTAACTGTTTATCACGGAAATATTCATTTCCAATCAAGCCAAAAATCTAATTGCCTTTGCTCTGCTATCAATTTAATCCTCTCAGATAAAGAACTACTAAACATTAATCCATAAAATAAATCTACATTAAAAAAAAAAAGAAACCTTTGTTTTGTATATTCATGATACTCACAGTCGTGGCTTGTTTAGTTTCATCAATATAATGTGTAGTGATGATTATAGTTGTTGTTTTCTCTCTTGTTATTTCAACCAAGTAGTCCCATACGCTGCAAAATAATAAAAAATTTAACTAGTATGTGGCATTTTCTATAAAGTTTACTTAAGCATTAAAGCAATATGGAAAATAATGTGGTAGTTAAGCTGAATATGGGCTACATTCTTGAATATCTGTTGTAATAAACCAATAGACCAAAAACCCCCTTTGATGGTGGACTCATAAGTTAAAGTATTAAAAATAGGTATATAAAATATTACCTTTGCCTGATAAGTGGATCAACTCCAACAGTTGGTTCATCCAGAATTAACAGCTCTGGTTGGTGAAGGAATGTGGCCGCCATTGATACTCTCCTTTGTTGTCCTCCGCTGTAAAAGAAATAATCATTTATTTTATTAATATATATTTGATCATAATATCAATGACTAGAGATATATCAAGACAAGTGTAGGTTCCAAGCGATTAAAAGTTTTGGACCCCTCAAAAAAATGTTTCAAGAAAATCTCATAAATTTATAAACAAAAAAATCTGCTGCGCCCATTACACGACTTTCACTTACCCTCTTCTTAGCAGAAATAAGTATTTTCAGACAAATGGGAAGTGAAAGTAAAAATTATTGACACTATATTTGTTTACAATTCATTGTGGGTATTTTTATTTGTTTAAATACCCTTATATATACAAATTTTAATTTTATATTGTTGCATTCTATACAATTAAATATTAAATAATGCCAACGATAGCATTTATGAAAATTGCATATGTATATGAATATAATATTGTCGGAGTCCATATTATATGAAGCTCATGTTACGTATGGAAGCCTGTTGTAATCTTTCTGGCAAGCTTATATTCCTTTGATTCCTCTATTACAATTATTTTCCATTACGATCTCTTATTTCTCCTTTAGTGAACTATCAAATTCTTTCATATTTTATACTTAACTCTTTTTTATATCAAAATATTAATGTGAAATGGTTAACTATTTGAAATAAAAAAATATAAAGGTACTTTAGAGGAAGCCAATATTGAAAATTAGCCATTTAAGCCCTGACAGAGAACACCAATGAGAATAAAACCTATATTATATAAAAAACTGCTTAATGATACACTGATATAGTGAGTTTAATCAAAATCCTTAGAGTTGTTTTTGAGAAAATCGTAAAAATGTGTTAAATCAATTATATAAAGTACCACTTCCAGTTTTTTGATTTTGACGAAAATGGTCCTGTAACATCGAAAGCTTATAAAAACCTTAAATATGCAATTTTACTTTCATATGACTTTTCATTTTTGAGCTAGACTGATAACATAGATACATACAGACCATTTTGCAGGACTTGGTTATTTGGACTCAGGAGATCTCAAAACATGTATTTATGTCGAAAACACAGATTTGAAAATTTTCACAATCACTATACTTACTCTTACTATATATTGCATATATAGGAAAGTGAAAGTAATAGAAAAACAATAAAACTTCCACATCATAAAAGAATTAAATTAAGTTTCATATATTTTTTTTTTATAATTTCCATCTAGACTTTTTAAAACAAATTTATCAATAATTTAGGAAATGCAATAGAAACTGTTCTTGTTGATAAACTGCTACCTTTAAATGGAATAAGCTTTTGATGGTTTGATTCTAAAATGGTGGTGCAGGTTCAGCTTAAATGGTATGACATGATGATTGTAAGTAATTTTAAAGTGTAGTTAATAATCACAATTAAATATTTAATGAATTAAAAATTGATGAATACATTTGTGGCCTTTAAATAAATTTAAAAATTTGTTTAAGATTTATTGGATTTCACAGAGAACTTATTGAAACTTTAAGGAGTTCTGGTTCGCTGGGACTGTATGTGGCCGCTTATCAACCTTGTTAACAACCTATCAGCTCAGACATTAATTATCCTGCAAATAAATATCTTTTTATCTTTTAATTTTAAAATCTATGAACTTTACTTATGAATAATTGATTACTTTAATTATTAATAATTAAAATTAATAAATTAAGATAAAAATAGTTGGTTTCGTATCATTCTTGATTCATTTCAAATTCAGAAAAGTAGCTTATTGTTGCTGAATTTCACTTCTATCTTTATATTACTACTAATGCTCAATTATTTTCAAATATAAAGAATAAAACAAATTTAAAACCATCCAACGCATACAAACAATCTTATAATGGCTTGTACTTTTTTCTAAGTTTTATTTTGGATGGAAACCTTGTTATTTTTTTATCTGAGTACAAGAAATGGTTAAAAACATGATGACACAATTACTACCTTTAAACAAGTTAATTCAAGGAAAATATATTTAACCGTTATTTACTTATTAAAAACTTTTATTTCATTTTTGTATTTAGAAAACATTTTGGGCAATTTTGTTTATTTTCAAGTAAAAATTATACCTTTTTTTAACACTAATTAGACCATTTCCCTTACATATTATTAATCTCCTAATACAAGAAATGATTAGAAACATAATGACTCATAATTATCATCTTTAAAAAAGGTAATTCAGTTGTTTTTGTACAGATGTAGACTCTCTGATAAATATTGTGATAATGATAGTGTTCATGGTTATTTGTTTGTTTTATTTTTTAATGAAGTGTATTTTATTTTTTTCTGTTGGCATTACAGACCATGTATATCTTTTTCCCTCCCAACATTCCTGCTCCATCTCTGCCCGTCTTGGGCTATTTCTCTCCAGTTATCTGCACTCAGCTCTATTGTATCTTTTTGATTCTATCTATCTGCTTTTTAGCCTTTCATGTGGCCTTTCGCCTTCTATTGAAGTATTCATTGTTACGCAGAGACTTCCAAATGGATTGCTACGAGCTAAATGCCCCGCTCATCTTAATCTCGGTAGCTTCATATCATTGGATATTGATTGATCAGTTTCTGTAAGCAGTTCTTTATTGGTCTTTCTTCTCCATGTGTTAGTATTGCTCCGGTTATCGTGCTGAGGATTTTCTCTCTAATCTTTCAACACTTTTTTCTAGGGTGTTGGTTAGTGTCCAGGTCACACAGCTATATATTAGAGCTGGCTTTATCATAGCATTGTATACCCTTAATTTGAGATATTTCAGGATTTCAATACCTTCGAGAGGGAGAAGAAAGCTCTGTTTATTTATCTGTCTGTATAGTTATTCGCTGGTCTATTTCTGCCTGTTGGTCATTCATTGAGGTTATTGTGGTATAGTAGAAAGCCCCCAGTATTTACTCCTTTATCTAACATTGTGTGAGGGAATGAGGAGGAATATATAGGAATGTGAGGTTGCACTGTGAATTGTACTCAATTGTGCAGTGGACAAATTATTCATTGAAAACTCTCATATCGATAAACAATGGATGAAGAAGGACGCCGGAAAAAGGAAGCAACAGCTGGAGAAGAACGCTAGAGAGAGAGAGAGAGAGAGGGCATTCTAGGCCAGGACAGGTAGAAAGGAGGTTGTCAGAAGAGAGGAGGACGGATTCTTGAGGCTGAGAAATTGAGGCAGAACGACAAGAGAGAAGAGAGTCTACTACAAGATTTAGAAGATCAAGTCTATAGTTATAACACTTTAATAGAGTCACTTTATTACAGTTGTAGAAATAAATTATTTTGTTATACAGGAGTGAAAAGTCATTTATTTATTTAGTTGTCCTATATGCCTCACAATTGAAGAATAATAAACCACGTGAGTCAATTCATTCAAAGTGTATTTACTAAGTCCCACATTTCAAATATATATTCTTATTGTTTCTTCTCACTCAATGTCACAAAAGGTATTAGATTCCCGAATTCCCAACAACAGTTAAACACCCTCAAAAGTCTATATCCAGTCTCGGGGTTTTGTTTTAATATTCACGAGTGTAAATAACCTAGTTCTCCGATTTAAAGCGGAAGGCTATTCGCAATTCCCACCAAAACAAATTATTTAAAATTATAATTATTATATTAAATACGTTATTTGCAGTGGAGATGAGGTATTTGAATTTTTCTACTCTCCGAAATGATTTTTCTTCTACAGAGATCCTGCGCAACCCCCAGTTCAGTCATGAAGTGTATTTATAATATTGAAAACCTCTGTAATGTTGAACATGTATTTAGTATTATTTTGTGTAAAAGTAATTAAATCTAAAAAATTAAATTTTAATAACTTTTATTTATTATTGCATTAATAAGAAATTATTAATTTTGAATTTATGAACTAAGACCAGTTTTATTGAAAACAACGTATTTAAACAATACTATCAAGCTCACCTTAATTCTTTAACGTATCTATTTGGCCCAGGGAGCTGCAGAAGGTTGAAGAGGAAGGCAGATCTCTCCTCTATTTCTTCTGTCTTCATGTTATTAACCCAGCCGAAGTAGAGCATTGTTTCCTTGATCGTGAACTCTCCATATAGGGCCATTTCCTGAAGAAAATCCATTTAATTTAGTGCTATAATTATTATAAATAATTATTAACATATAATTATAAAATAAACCATAACTAAAACAAATAATAATTACACTAAGTGTGTAAATATGAAACTGGAATTAGTCCATAGATGGATCTAGTTAATGTACAACAACACAAGTTTCACATACCAAGTTTTGTGCCTACAAAATACGATTTGGGGATAGCCTGAGTTTTCTATTACCATTTAAAGGAGACTGCTTCATTATCACATCAAATGCTTTCAAAGCTTAAGATAAGCATGCTCTTAGAAAATCACAATGCTATGAGTTGCTTTAAAAATTCAAAAATAGTAATTTTGATGTTATAACTGTTAACACTGAATGTTTTCAACACCAAATGATTGTTTAAAATCAATTATTGAGTGAAAAATGACCAGAACATCAAAAAAGACAACATAAATTATTTTGCTTGGTGATAATGCACCATCACACAATATGAAACCAGTGAAGGAAACAATTGAGGCATTAAGTTGAGAAATATTAGCGCAGCAGATCAGACTACTATCTATATGTGGCACAAACTTGATCAGCAAAGCTTTACTTATGAAAATGGGTTTATGACTTTATGATGGCTCAAAAGTAAGAGCATTTGGATATGGAATACGGATAATAAAAATTGATGTTTTATATGTTTGTCCCAAAATTTTATTTATTATTTAAATGGTGTTTGGCCAAAGATCACTACCAATTTGTTTCCTTTAATATTATTTTATTACCGCTGATGTTTCACCTTCGAGAGCTATTATGCATTCGAGAGCTAGTCTCATCCATTATGCATCTGCACTATTTTCAAATCATTTTTAAACAAATCTGTCCTTTGAACAAATAGCCAGTATTGTTTTTTAGACAATTACATTGATATTACAAGTTGGTAAGTCCAGGAGTGCCCAGAAGGAGGTTTGATGGGATAACTTGCGCCATCAAAATTTTTGACGGGGGCACATTTTGGTGGGGTTATGAATTTTCGGAATAATTGTTTCATACTAAGGGACAAGGGGAATACATGGAACAGACAGCAGCAAGTATAATTGTATGTGATGTATGATCTACAATTTTTCATCTTCTACATTCGCTTGCTCTGTTCTTAAGCGAAGGTAAACAATAAAATATCCATTGACCTTGGACGGAGGATGGGTACTTTGTTTAAGTCTACAATCGGCTTTATTTGATCATGGGTGACAGCAATAACAAAAGGATATTTTGTGAAACAAATGTTGGTGATTTTTGGCCAAAATCATTTTAATATATTATTATTATTTATAATAATTTAAAAGATAGAAATATGCTTAAATAAATATTTTAGATTTAAAAAAAGGAAAAAAATCTTTAAAAATCTAGAGGAGAAGAAATTATTATATTAAATATAATTTAACATAAAAATAAAGTAGTGAACTATTTAACTATTAAGGAAAAGGATAACTTCACAAAATCTTTAATAATCGAAAATGGATCCTAAATGGAAGGCACTGCAATATAAATAACAATAAAATAAAAAATATGTGGTTAGTAATTATCAGTAATAAAATTTTTTTAGTCATTAGCAATATTTGGCCTAAAACCATCTATAAAAATTATCTGATATTGGATCTTATCTGGCTGGCTTTAATTTTGCAAAAAGAACATAATTATTTTTTTGTATTGCCTCAGTTGAAGGGATGTATTTTTATATTATACAAAAAGATATATTAGCCTTAACATTTTATTAATTTGATGGTCAATTTTTATTTATATTTTTAATGATCATAATAAATATGTGATGGGATGAGTAAGAAATCAGCTGTTGTTAGAAATGAACTAAAGATGTTCTCTTTTACAGTATTTTTTACTTTTTATTCAATGCTTTGATGAATATAAATATGAATTGTTAAATATAGACAATAATATTTAGATATATCCCAAATATGAAATTTAACCAGATATAATATGTAAAAAAAAAAAACATGTTTAATTGATATTAAATAATATGAAATGTAGAATAAACTGTTAACGAAACGTATCAAAGACTTAGAAAAGAATTAGTAAATACAAATAAATTTGGTCTTTAGGTATAAGTAAGAGTTTTGGAATCAAGTGATGTATATGATTTTGCAAATTCTCTTATTATATATAATGATTTCATAAACCTTACATTTTTCTTTTCAAATCCAACACATGTATTTATCTATATATCAAGAAATAGTTCCAAAGAAAAGAGATCTTATTGAAAAGTGAAGTGATGGTATAATTATTTTCTTGTATCACATGAATATTTTAAAAGATGGTTGCTGTCTGTTTTTTTATTAGAATCAATTTATATTAAAAATAAAATACAATAAGAAGTGTTACAATTTTACCACCAAACAAGTGGAAGAAGATGCCATTATGATATACAAATACGATAATAAATAATAATAATAACCTGAGGCATGTAGCCTATCCTGGGACCAGGTACTCCACTCCCCCTAGTTCCGGGTTTTCCCCCTAACACCCAGATCTCTCCGCTGTTCAGAGTTCTTCTGCCAACGATGCAGCTTAATAATGTTGTTTTACCACAGCCACTAGCTCCCAGCAAGCCATATCTGAAATATATCAACAATTACACGATAATGTTATGTACACACAGAAAAATGAAAAATAACTGTCATCCTAAAAGAAACTAACATTATTGAAGGGAAATTCTCTTGTACAAAAAGATTAATATTCCATGTTTGTGAAACATGGAGTTATTTGTGAAGTTACTATTTTTATCTATGGCTAAAAATGATTTTTTAATCTCGCAAAAACTAAATTGACCTTTGTTAAAATAAAAAAATATAATAACAAAATCAAATAATGATATAATACATTGAATAACAGATAATTGTATAAATTAATTTATTGTGCCAATTTTCATGGAGCTGATCTAAAGTGAACAATCATCTGTAACACTTACTGAAGATTAATTTCTTTGTTTTCTTTCTTAAATGAAGTAAACAGAAGAATGATGACTATCAATTGGGCTTACAATGACAATATGGGTTTTTTAAAGTCCTCATATCAGTAGCAGACCAATAAAACTAAGTGTTTGTACAAAGTGATTGTGCCCGATTGTATTGTTGCAACGAGTGGTGGTGGCAGATCAGATAAGATCTAAAAGATAAAATTTAATCCGGAGCAGCAACGAGTAGCACTCGCCCGATTCCATCACAGAACTAGCCAGAGACAACACCTGCACGGAGGGTGTCCTCAGATAATAAGAAGACTAAGCCAGCATAAATGGGTAAGTCAATTTGCACGATTCAAATATCCTACCAATTTATTAAAATACCAGTCCACTGCATAAATAAGTGGAATGTTACCAATTATTTGAATGTTGCCTGTTTTGAACTAATGAGAGTTATTAGCCTTTATTAAAATTTGGAATGTTGCGTAAACACTAGGATAACATTGATAAGATATATTTTAAAATATGGAGTAAAAATCTGGAATCCCACTGCTGTGATGACTAAGAACCTGAATTTGTATGAACACAAGATCCTTAGAAGAATTAATTTGTTCATGTATTTGATTTTGAAGACATGGAGATTTCGCAAGAACTATGAGCTCTACTTACTATGCCAGGATAAAAATGTGGTACAGTTTATTAAATCTCACCGGATTGAATAATTGAGCCATGCCATGCAACATGGATATCAGATGACAGGATGTCATGCAAATTACTGCATGGTGTGGTTATTGGGAAGTGAAGAGTTTGGAGACCGTTCTGGCAATGAGTTCATGACATTGCGGAAGACCTGTCAGATTGGGAGTAGCGAGGAAGAGAAACAGTAAAGAATGGAGGAAGTTTGTCAGATAGGCCAAGATCCACTTTGGACTGTAAACATTTTTTTGTTTAAATTTTAATTTTTACTAGGTCTTGTATTGAATGAGACACCATGAAATTAGGAATTTTACTCTCACTATGGGGTTTTACTCTACTTTCATCAAACTATGGGATGTCAGTACACATTTACTTTTTTTCTATGCTTTTTATAACGTATTCATTTTAGTTAAATAATTTTGATAAAAAAACCATAGAGAATCAATGTTTTTGTTATATCTTATGTAAATGTTTATTAATTAATGGGGATCTTTTTTCATAAGTTTGAAGGGAGATGCTTTTTATCTAAATAATAAGTGATAAATGGGAAGAAATAGAAACTTATACCCCTATCAAAAATAAAAAAAATATTACTCTCACCAAATGAAAAATATTTTTCATCGAATTTGGTTTCTTGCCAAACTATGGGATTTCAGTACAATTTTATTCTGATACAAATTACTTTTTTTCCATGCTTTTTATTATGTATTTATTTTAGTTAAATAATTTAGATACAAATAATAGAGAATCAATGTTTTTGTTATATCTTACGTAAATGTTTATTATTTAAGGGGGATTTTTTTTTTTTATAAGTTCGAAGGGAGATGCTTTTTATCTAAATAATAAATGATAAATGGGAAGAAACAGAACCTTATACCTAATCAAAAATAAAAAAATAATCATTGAAGGCATAAAATTATGCATAAGTAATTCCTATTTTACATATAAAATTAATGGGGATCCTTATAGACACTTACATACAACCCTTTGGCACAGTCATGTTTAGATTATCCAAGATGACATGTTGGTTTGACTTGCTGCCGTAAGTCTTCCTTGCCCTCCGAACACAAACAGCGTTCATCCTCCTTGTCCAGACAGTACTCTGCTGGGGCTGAAGCTTGGTCCTCGGGCCCTGTGTGGGGGCGGATGTCGCCGGCAACCTGCTGAAGGTCAAATATCAAATCAGTTACAGAAATATTTACAATTATAAACTTTATTATTTATTGTTAACAAAAAATTAAGATGGTGACTATAAAGTGTAAAAAAACAATAAAAAAAAAAAAAAACTAGAGTTAATTTTTCAACAATTGAAGTTATAAGAACTTATTATAGTCAAATAATGAAAATTCACTTATAACAAGTACATTAAGTTGAAGGAAAAATTCAAAATGAAATGTTGAGACAAACCTATAATATTAAGAATAACAATTAAGTTCTCAGAGCATTAAAATACCCTCTTCAAAAATTATAGTTTCTGTTTTTTTTTTTCTGAAAAAGAAAAATCTGATATAACAGAAAACTGAGTTTGTAAAATTAACCTGCAAATTTAACTTTATAGTGTTAGAGTTTATGAGAATATTCATTCACAGCAAAATTTCAATTTGAATAATTCATAATATTGAAAACAAAATGTTTTTATTGATGAAAATCAGGGCAGAAAAACAAAAAACAACAAATTTCAATAAATACAATAAATAGATTTTATCTATCTTTATCAGGATATAAAGGATTAAACACTTCACACTTTACAACAAGCTCAATTATGTTAGGTATCAAACTAATATATTTATTAATTATAACCACTAGCGGATCCAGGATTTAATTTTGGGGGTGGGCTTCAGCCCGAAAGCTTATTTTTTCATAAAAATAAAAAAAATTACTTTGGTAAATAAGAAAGAAACTAACAACCTATATGAACTGGTGTTTAAGTGATTCCTAAAGCCCTTTTAAATGTAATTACACGAATAATTATACATTAAGAGATAATTTTTTAATATTTTTCTTGATAAAACATGGTTATATTTTACCATTTTGGGGGGGACTTCAGCCCGAAAGCCCTCCTCCCCCCGTAGATCCGCCCGTGATTATAACAATCCCTAAAATTAATACATTTTATTTTAAAACAATTATGAACTATTGATTTTTCTGTTTTGCATATTCAACTAATTCATGGATTAGGAGCATGGTAATCAGAGTTTCTTTAATATTTATTTAATTTAAATACTATAGAATAAACATTTTAATACAATGTTAGTTTCATTTAACGAAACACAACAAGCCTTTAATTTCATTGTTTGATGTTGATGTAAAATGACACAAAATTTTAATAAAACTATTGATAAATTATATCCTAACTATAATCATGTTTGATCAAAACTTCTAACCATCTCTCCTAGTTTATAATGGCATCTAGATGAAATGTATAGCAGAAGAATAACCAGTAACTGACATATAAAAAGATTAATCTTTAAATCATATTGATCTGTTATTTTATTTATTGCATGAATATAGACATAAATATTTTTTCTTGAGCTCTCAACATGAATCTTTTCAGAATCTGATTCAATATCCTATTCTCCCTAGCAGATTGCACTTTAAAAAAGTATATAGAAAAGTATACGATACTGCAAAACAATATTTATGTTTTGAAGTTAAAACACTACTTAAAAATGTTAGAATATAACAGTTATTATAAGACAATTCTTTAAATCCTAATTAACATCTTCAAGACTGCCTCTAGTCTAAGTATTCTATCAGACTTAAATAAACATGTCCAGTTCATTTAAATAAAACATTACAGTAAATTTGAAGGTGGGAGTAAAGAGGAGAAAATAAGTTCTTCTGTCATCCAAGCGTCTTACCATTTCAAGAGACTCTGCCAAAGATGAATAAACGGAGTGATCAGCAGCAGAACATTGAATTAAAACTTTAAAAGAAAAAAAAAAAAAACACTACAGAAATAAATCTATCAGTTCTCAGGAATATAGTTATCAATTGATAGGTTGTTGATAAAGTTGATTTATACGAATAGTGAAACTTGGTGAAGTACCCAAGTGCCTTCTCCACCTGAATGAAACTTAACATTCTAATGAAATACATTAATTTCTGTTATCGTGTAAACATACAGAAAGTAAATTCTTGACTTTCTGTATGTTTGCACAGGTAGATTAAAGGAATTTTCTGTATATTGACATTAGACGATACTTTCAAGGAGTTTTCATAGAGTGAGAGAGGGGTGGGAAAGATAGAATATATGAAAATCTCAGGTAGATAAATGATTTCAAATTCTATACTATTAGACTACTTAATTTACATAGAATAACTTTTAAAAATTATTTTTCTTAGATTGCCTAAAAACCTTTTTATGTTATATTACGTTTTATTTTCATTCAAATATTTTAGGGAAGGCAACCACCCCTCCCTGCCCTCTCCTGCATACGCCCATGGTTTGAAGGAGCCTTTATGCACAAACAGCGGAAAGGACTCAATTACCAAGTTACAATATTAATATATGTCAAGTTCACCAACAACCCACCACTGTGTTCACTAGAAGATTTACGGGGAGGAAAGGGGGGGAGGAGAGAAGGAGGCTTTCTGTCTGACCGGCCTGAGGGGCGAATATCTATGGAGTTATGAATTTTCGGTCTAAAGGACAAGTGGAAAATATTGACCAGATTGCAGCATGTGTAATTGTATATGATCTATGATTTATATAATTTTACCTTAGCTTGCTTTGTTTTTAAGAAAAAAAAAAAAAAAAATATCTTGGGAAGAGGGGGAGTGGGTAGATTCATGCGCCATCGACGTTGGAGTGTGAAATGGGCACCCCTGGTTATTTCTATAGACTTTTTTTGCTTATTAAATTATCTTTTTAATTTAAAGTTTTACTTTTTTCTTTGTTTCGGCATTAATGACTTCCAATTAAGCAACAATTGATTTATTTGTTGTATTTCCAAGTTACATGTCAACATTTCGGGATATCTACTCCTATCTTCAGAATTACAATCCCTATGTTTTTTTGTTGATTCATGGCTAAAAATTGAGTTAAATATAATGCATGTTACAATACATGTCAGAATTGAGTTGTTACATTAAATTTGTAATTACCTTAAGTCTAATGTGCTCTAATTTCTAAATTCATGTTATAATACATTAAAGTATATAATATCCAGAGCATCATCATGCCTTTAGACCAATTATTGGGTGTCTGCATGGTGAATACAATTGATGTTTTTTTGATATAATTATTTATTTTTTACTATTGTTGTTAAATGTTTATTTTTTTATGTAGCTGAAATTTCATTTTTATTAAATTTAAATTTTTTTTAATATGTCCCTAAATGTTTGGTGTCTGTTTTATGATTTACTGTTGTTCTATTGTGTACGGCTTCAACTAATTTTCTCTTGGTGTTTTTTGGTTCTGTTCCTAATATCTGTAGTTTATTGAAGTTACATTTATGCTGTAATTTTATGCTGTGATGTGCTAAAGCTGTTGTGTTTATGTTTTTTGTATATTTTACAGTTAAGAATGAATTGTGAAATTTTGGTCCCTAAGTGTTTGGATGTTTCTCTGATATAGATTTTGGGGCAGTTTTGACAATTTAATTTATAAATTACATTTTTCTTGTTTATTAAGTCTATTTTATCTTTTGTATTGGTGATGTGCCTGCTCAATTATTTATTATTATATTGCCAAAGTTTGATTTCTGTTATGTCATAATTTTGTTTGTAAGTTCAGGTATGTATGCCATTTTGTAATTGTAGTTAGTTTTAAGTTTATCTTGTACCTATTATGTACAATTTATATTAATTTCATATTGGGTCTGTTCTAACAAGCAGGCCTGGACTGTTTTAGGAAGCACAGACCCATAACCATGAACTTACACATGATATGATACGAAAGCAATAAACAAATCGAGAATACTTAAAGCATAATAAAGTCAGTGTTTTTGTCACTAAGTTTCAAAACATTTAATAATTTGAGCCATCAAACTTGAAAATTGGTTGAATCCTTCGTTGAACTCTTCCTTCAAAAATTATTTCAAATTACAAATATATTATATATACATACAAATATATTATACATATATATATATATATATATACTATATTTATATATATATAACATAGATCTGCCTCATTCCAAAACTCCTTTATAGCCCACTCTGTCAACTTTTGGAATTCCCTCCCGATCAAAATTCGGCATGCCCCTTCCCTATACACATTCAAAAACCTCCTATTCCAATTCCTGTTCCAAAAATAGTCAGATACCAGCTAACTATTAATACTATATATGTATTGTGTAACAATCATATAATCATATGATAATACTTTGTAAGAGATAGTACATGCATTTCCTACAATCGATGTAGGAATTTCAATACATCTATTTTTTTTTTTTTAACATTTTTCTTTCTTATTCAATTATAAACAACTTTATATATATATATATATATATATATATATATATATATATATATATATATATATATATATATATATATATATATATATACAAGCAAAGTTTTTTATTAAATGAACTTATTCTATCTCTTTTTCGTTCTTCATTTCTCAAAGTGTATGTTTATGTTGTTCTACCCTTATATATATTTTAGTTCATAGTTTTAAGTGATTTGTTCATAGTTTTAAGTATTTTGTTCATAGTTTTAAATGATTTGTACATAGTTTTATCTGTATTGTATATAGCTTGTTCACCTAATGTTTTCTTTACTTTTTAGTTTATTTTATCAATTTTATTTATTGTATCAAAATTTTAGGCCAGTAGTACAATTTTGTACAATTTTATTATTATAAAGGGATTTCGTCCCAGAATAAAGTTTTGTTCTATATATTTATATATATATATATATATATATATAAAGATAAAGTAATATACAAGATAACTAAAATAACAGATTAAAGCTGAATGATAATAAAATAAATATAACGCATGCACACTTAAGTACAATAACAAATAGTTATGCCAAACACGATACATTTCTTGTGACTACGCCGTAGTTGTATAATTAAGAATGAATTGTGAGAGACAAAACAAAAAAATCATTAATGAAGAGTACTCATGATATCCGGACTGAGTTGTTAAACCTATTAATAAAAGGAAGTGAATGTATCCAGCCTGAGTACAAGGACGAAACAATTCAGA